TTTTTTCGTGATAGTCTCGACAGGCTTAGTATGATAAAGAGATTAGACAATTATAATAAAGTGGTTGGGCCCATTAAAGTAACGATGTCAAGTGACAGTAGTATGCGCTAAGAAATGACGAAGGCACTTGTACAGCTTCTTGACGCTCAATAGAGTTCAAATTTTTAAAAAAAAATCCATTAAAATTATTTAATGTTTATTCCAAAAGAACAATCTCGCAACTATGGTAATTTTTCTACATAAATCTTCAATAATTTTGACGGGCTAGCACGAGTAAGGTAAAGGAATCAGTTCCCATAGTCCCGAGTAGGGACAGACAAGCTAGGTAATGACGTGCTTGTCATGAGAAAATTGTCTTCTGCCTAATCATAAAAAAGCTCACCGCTGCTGCCATACTGAGTGCTGCTGCATTGATACCAACATGATCACGAAACGATTGTGCCGCTTCTGGCATATGCAATTTCGGATTGGTATTTGCTGAATGGCGATTCCTGGAATACTACTATTAATTCTTCTTCATGCACAATGTTTCTTAGGTTATCACCTGCTCCTTCTGCTGCTGAACTCCTTGCCACAACCAGGTATGGTGCACATGTGCATTTCCTTTAAATGCACGGCACTAGTGTGGATCTTTAGAGCTCCCTTATCGCAGAACGACTTATTGCATCGCTCACATAGCACTCGTTTTTTCAACTTGTTGCTACTAAGAGGAGACTGAAAATGTTAATTGTTGCAGAAGCACTGGATTGCCACAGTGTGTCACGTACCTCACTGAGCACGCTGGAGTCGGCAGATTGTGGTCTAGAAAGGTTCTCACTGCTGACGACCGTTTGTGCTGGAGGGGTGGAGGGTGTAAGATCAACAGAAGAATTTACTGTCTCCTCGGCTGTCTCAGAGTGTGCTGAGAGGTCCTCTTCAACGGCTGTAGTGACGGAAACAGAGTTAGCGGCTGATGGCTGAGGTTGCAAAGCTGCTGAAATCCAGAATAGCATATTATCAGCATAAGAGAGCTCTATAGTCCAAAAAATGGACCTGCTGGAGGAAGGAATTGTTGAAATGTATGTGGCATGGGTGGTAGTGCTAGCGGAAACCACGGGGGCAGAGGAGGCCGAAGTCCTTGTAGAAGCGGGACACACAAAGGGAATTGACCCAACCTCTCCATTGTTGAGAGCTCGTCTGGTGCGCTCCAGGCAGAAATCAGAGAGCCGTCGCGATTCTGAAGAAGTTCATACTATCCTTAAAGTTCCAAGAATTTCTTGCTAACAGAAATCATTTCCAACCAGTATCAAGTCAATGACACCCGGAATCAGAAATTCACCAATAGGGAGCAAGGAGTAAAAAATGCTAACATTTCTGGGGTGAAATCAAATTAAGATTCGAACATGCTACGAATCTGGAGACTGTTTTAATATAGATAAGATGCAGAGCTTAAAACTAAGTACCTTTAAGCTACCGTAGGCAAGGAAACTTCATGTTTGCTTGAGAATGGGCTTGAAGCCATACGAGACCAAAATTTGGAGGCGTTGAGATTTAAAGGGTCGCTCTATGAGTGATGGCCGCATCGTCACCCTATATATTTCAGCAATGGCTGTCAATAGGCCACCCGTTCTGGAACGACGGCGACTGAACACTTGGGATGAGTCCCCAAGGAGTCGCCTACAGGGCTTCAAGCTGTCTTCGCCTGCGAAAACTTGACACGACGTAAACGAGGAATAGAGCGAAAGAGCTTCAGCTACTTGTTACATATTCTAGTTTGTCGAGCTAGTTACATGGACAGTTTAGTAACATGAAAAGTAAGAAAATCTCAAGGAACAAGAAAAGAAATCTAACTCAGCATTACTGTAGAGAGTTCGCTGGTATTCAGAGTTTGAAGTGAGATTAAATGTAACTGTCTTCTTTTTGCTTTTTCTAACCTATTCACAAGAAAAAAATGTTGACGGAATTGCTATTATTCCAATAATTTCATATAAGTCAATTAGGACTGTGTTATGCGACTCGATAATTTTAAGGAAACTATTATACTAAAGAGTTTAAAAGCAGATAGGTCGGCTAGAAAGTAATTTTGTTCTCAATGAGATCAAGAAAACTAATTTACTACTGCTGGTCTTTTACCCTCTTAGAATTGAAACAAATTTCTAATGATCATTCGGAGTGAAGCGTACCTAAGACAGCATCTAGTTCATCATTGCAAAAGCTATACCTTAACTCCTCTATTTCATCTTATTCTCTCCACTATTGCAAGATTCGCCGAATAATGCGAAAGGCGTTGAAACAACTTCAAGGCTTGATTTCATAGCGGTATAACGCGGAACTCGCTAATTCTCGAATTCATGTCGTATAAACCTTGAGAATGTAAATTTGTTTTAGTCTTTTTTATAATGTTTTTAGAAAGTTTTGAACTCAGTCCAGAGCTATTCAAAATCAAGTCCTTGGCTACGTGCTTAGCCTAAATTATGACTTACTTTTTTGAAGCTAATTTTTTGGAAATTGGAAGTTGCGGGTAACTTGCCTAATAAAATAAATAAAAATATAGTACAAAATAAATACAATAATAAATAAAAATGTTTTGGTATAAAACTAAAAAATCAATTAGTTTCTGCCAACATTATACTGCTCGTCCCTAGTTAGTTACTTTCTGTAAAGGTTAACGTAATATGCTGAGGTATCGGTGCTCAACGAGCACCTTAAAAGGAGAGGGTAGGTGAATACTGAGTCGAAGTGGAGATTGGAGATGTGTACATAACTGCTAGATGGGGTGTGAAATGCTAGTTCAGTATTGTTTTCCAGATTTGTGAAACTTTCTCTGGAGTGAGTTTCGAAATCCAATAAAGATTATTACGACTAGGTCGCTTATAAACTCCATAAAGAGTTTCGAAAGTTGTTTTCTAACAAAAGTAGCCTTTTTGCCTTCAAGTGATGCTATTAAACGTCAACTTCAATGTAAAACAGTAATGCATGGCTTAAGAAAAGTTTTCACATTATATTTACCCTGCTGTCTTGGGTTACAGTTTTTACATACTCTCAATGCCATTTCTAAAATAGGAAAGTCTAACTTTCAGAGAGCTTTGTAGATATGAAAGAAGGTTTTGGATCAACGTTTCTACCCGTCAACACCTTGCTTAAATGCAATAGGAAGTCCTATGCAAAGTCAAGGAGCCTTTAAATAAACATCCTATTGAATGATTTAGCTAAAACTGCACCTCGATTACAGAGTTAAGGCATTCTTGAA